AAACGCGCGCATCAGGTGAAATACATTCAATCAAAAATATACATATATCCAAGAGGATTTTCCTCTTGGATCCCCGCAGCGTCAAAGAAAATCCGTCACAGTGGCATCCGTCACTGTCAGCAATAAAAAGAGGGGGAAATAGGCGCTTGGCCTTCTACAGGGAAAAGCGTCACGCATTAATGCGGACGTCGTTTTTGCATAGGAGAAAAACAAGGAACAGCTGCAGAGGGAGAAAATCACCACTTGTTCCTGGAAGGAAATAAAATGGGTAAGTTCCGGATATAGAGAACCTGCAACAAGTATAGAGTATTTAGGTTAACATAATCGACATTTTAAGACCCTGCGTCTTTCGTAAAATTACTGAGATGAAACCTTTTGGTATTTAAGCAAGGTTTTCGTGTCCAAAAATCTTTAAGAATGCAGTTTTTTTAAATTTTGGGAGTCTCGTTTCGTCATCGGGGGCACTTTCAAATACTGTACCTCTCATCCTCTTGAATTTTAACTGATGTGCAAAAATCATAGAGCAAGATTAAGTAAAGGAAATCACACGATTCAATTTATGAATCGCTTCATGTATGCTCACGTTTTTCTTCATGCCTACAGTGTTTTTATGCAAGTATTTTCAAGTAAACAGGTAGAATCTCTTTACAACGATCTTGTCTACCACAATTTTCTCTGTACAGTACAGTATAACGATATATTTTTTGGTTTCATAGGGTTCTCTCCCCATTTTATAGGATTTCTCTAACATAGCGAAAAAACTAAATTCTCTCCACAACGAATTTTTCGCTGGTCCCTGGAATTTCGTTGTAGAGAAAGAGAGAGTCCACTTGTATTTTTCCAATGATTGTGGAAAATTATAAAAAATGACGAAATTCTTCAAAAATATTTTCCGTATTTATAGCGAGTGCAGCAGTGTTTATCTGAGCCAATCGAAACCCTTCTTCAAATATTTTTTCGCCGATTTATTTTTCAATCAGGAACACAATTTTCTGATGAACATGTTTTCTGTATATCACGCTTTTGAAAGTTTATGATGAGCCTATTAGCGCTGCAAATTTCCCAGAATAATTTGTCCCGAAATATCCGAGAAAGAAAAAAATTCCCGTCAGAAAAAGCGTTGCTCCCGTTTAATCGAAGCAGTGAAAACATGAGCTTTGAGAGCAAAATAGAAATAAAAAAAACTGCGGCGTTTGCCTTTTGCTTCCGGGATGGCCACAATAGACTCGTCGCCGTCAGTCGAAAAGATCGACACTGCTGGTGGACGCGTCGACGGTGGTGACGAGCATTCCTGCGAGTCCCGTGCCAGCACGACTGCTGTTGCCATCTCCTCCGCCGAAACGTCGCGTGGCGATGTCGACAGTGGGCATGGCACGGAAACCGACGACAGCCAGTCCGACAACCAGCATCAACGCAATCACCACCAAGTCCAAAAAGTTGAACAAATTGCACCTTTTGTAGCTGGGCTCCACGATCGGATTTTGAGTCCCGTTCCCCACTTCCGGGGTCTCGTCGTCGAGTTGCGTCCCGCTGGATGACGATGAGTAGATGGAGTTGGGGTTTGGGCAGCAGAACCCGGTCCAGTTGTTGGGGTTCGGGGCGCAGCAAATCCCGGGCATGCATTCCCAGACGCAGGACAAAATCGGGGGTGTCTTGGATCGGGAGGATGACGTTTCGTCGCTGGGGTAACTGACGAGTGACCGGCGTCCAAGTGGACAACAGAGTTTTGTGCTGCACTCGTAGAAGACCTCTTTAGGTGCGGTTCTGTCCTCGCAAGATTTGAGGGAAGTGAAGGCCTGAAAGATGCAAACGAAGATTCAGAGCTTTTATCGTTTTTTTTTATTTATCCCTGCATAACCTTCAAAATGTGAAATTCCAAACTCCAGCTTCAATATTGAAGACGATTTTGCGAATTGAGCCAACTCAAAATATGGCGAGTCGTTGCGAATACTGTAGTTGGAAATTCTTGACGAATAAATTAAATGTATTTTCCTTTTTCAATTATTCTCTTGATTTTTTAAAAATAGTTCCGCCTTGCAGCAAGATTTGAGACAAATTAAAGCATGGATACTCATAAGTTGTATTTCTGTGAATGTTTTTCACAAGAAAGATAAATAATTCCAGTAAAGAAAGAACCGTTGCTTGAAATAGAGAATATTTTGAGAATTGAGTCAAGTAAAAGTCTTTGTTATGAATAAGTGTATTAAAAACTATCGTCTTTGAAAAGAAGGCTGGAAAGATGCATCCGAAAATTTAGAGCTTTCTTTCGGTTTTAAAATCCCTGCATAACCTTCAAAATGTGAAATTCCAAAACTCCCTCTTCAATTGAAGACGATTTTGCGAATTGAGCCAGCTCAGAATATGGCGAGTCGTTGCGAATAGTTTGAAATTCTTGACGAATAAATGAAATATATTTCCCTTTTCAATTTTTCTCTTGATTTAAAAAAAATATGAAATAAGCCTTGCAGCAAGATTTGAGACAAATTAAAGCATGGATCCTTCTAAGTTGTATTTTTGTGAATGTTTTTTGCATGAAAGATGAATAATTCCAGTAAAGAAAGAACCGTTGTTTCAAATAGAGAATATTTTGAGGATTGAGTCAAGTAAAAATCTTCGTTATGAATAATTGTAATAAAACCTATACTGTCTTTAAAAATAAGTCTAGAAAGATATATACTGTACCTATATATATATACTGGTTCATACTGTACCTTTATGAAGAGTTTTTATTTTTTGCACAATTTTCAATTATTTCACTCGATAAGAACTTCAGAATCTTAAATCTTAATCTATAGGCAATGAGTTGCAGAACAATTTTGGGATTGAGTCGAAGAGCAGACTTAGAATACCAATTTATTCAGAAAATGTTTGCTGCGAACATTTACGCGAATGAATAAACAATTTATAGAATACCAAATGTCATTTCTAAAAATAGAATTGAAGAGCATTTCTGCCGACTCTTAAAAATGGTAAACATATACTTTTTTATTACTTTATTGAAATAATAAGAGTTTGTAAAAGCTCGTATGTAAAGCCATGGAAACCAGGCAGAATGTTGGGCTCTGATGAGTTATCTGCCAAAGCCAAAACTCGACGACATGACATGCAGATTTCCGATTTGAAAACAGGATACGTTTCTGACCCTGAGCAGCACGCATGAGTAAGAACCATTTCCGAAGTGAACACCGTATCTGAATTAAAATCTTAAGGGCAGAATTATTTTCTGGAATTACTTATTCACTCACCAATTTTCCCATTATTTGATGACTATCCCAAGACCTGTGGTGGGTGTGATGTGAATTTTGATTATGCAGCAATTGATTTGATTTGAAGGTAAGGAGGTCACTTCAACTTGATAAGTTCATTCCAGTACTGCTTGGAAATTTATCTCTTCTGACGTAACAGCTTATTATTATTTGAGATGTGACGCACTGTAATACGCCGAAGAGAGCTCATCTACTAAATAATAATTAATAACAAATGCAAAGGAAGCAATAATTTAGATCAATTCCAGAGATTTACCTGGCAAGTCACAATATAGTGACCATTAAAAAAACGCTTCGACAGTAATTAAAGAAAAACATCGTGCCGTGTTTTGATTGTTTTTGTGCAGTGTTTATTCAAATAGTTGAAACTTGATATTGAACTTCAATCCAAAGTTACTAAAATCTCTTCAATAATTTCGATATAGTTATGACGATTCTATGCGAAGTTTTTCACAAACTTTCGTCTGCCTTCTATCATGTCTACCTATGATTGCTCGTGATGAACTCGGTACGGTAGTACGGATCTGTATATGATTCCAGTACTGAACTGTAAGTTTTTTATGGTTGAAGTCACTTTCTTCGGGGGAGATTTCACAAATAAATGACAAATGGAAAAAATAAAATATTCACGCACCAATGACAAGTTGGGAGAGATTTTTGCTTTCCAGACATCGTCTGCTTCGTGAGTAAGCGACAAACATTTCCGGCGATCGAAGAACAGAGACCTTTTTGAAATCTCGTGATTTTCACTCGGGGCTCGAGGAACTTTCAAAAGTTTCTGCAGTAGTACAGCAGAGCTTATATCATCGATTATTGCACAACAGGCGATAAAGAGGAAGAAATTACGCATAGTTCACGCGAAAAAAAAGTACGGTTATCAGGAGGAATTTCGGTGTTGAAATGAATTGTTTCTGCTGATGATCGCTGTAATGTAGGCATTGAGGTGATCAGTTATAGCCTGAATGTTCTATTTTCGTACAAGATTGGCAATATAGCCTGACGAAACGTTCATGGTCTGGAAAAATGACTCCAATTAATATGTCACCATCATACAGCAAATGATTTCGGAAAATTTTGAAACATTTTCAAAAGTTAAGGCTCAAAATGAAAGATTTTGATGTAATAAATTGTCTTAAATTAATGCTATCTTTAATGTCTGTCATGTAAATTTAGTTTTCTATTTTTAACTTTAATATTATGAGTCACTGGAAGACATGGAAAATTTAAGAAAAGAACTGAAGAACAATTTTTCGCAGTGATTTTTTCATCATTATAAAGCGGACCAGCAGGAAAATTCTTAGAAAATCGCCAGCAGTCAAATTGGAGAATGTTTGCCATAAGTTAAAAAAAACGGAATAAAAAAAACATTTTTCGCCGTACACCATTGAATTTAGTGCAATGGAAGATGTATCATAGTGATATCTATAATTGCGTCTCAATTTTCATCCATTTTACAATTGAAGACACTTCTTTAAAAAAAAAACCAATGATTCACTACCAGCAGCATCATCCACAACCAACATGGATATTCCTTTCTTACCTCTTCAACTTTTGAGATGCCCCTTGGCTCTTGCAGACAGTTTTGATTTCTTCAAGAAATCATACTGCTTGATTTCAAGTTGAAAAAAATTTAGTAGATTAAAAAATTAATCTAAAAAACCACGTTTTGAAAAAGGAAAAAATAACTTTAAACGTGGTGATTGCTAGCTAGTTGGGAAGTGAGCAAAATTTGAGTTGCAAAATTTGATCCAGACAAATGGACAAGAAAGCAAGTTAATAAAAACGTGTTAAATAAAAATACGGAGAAGAAAACGGTAGCGAATTTCAGCGATGGTTTGAACTGTATCCTACATCATGCTGTCAATATTTCGATGCCCCTGACGTAAAAAAAATAAATTCAAGATGTTCTGAAAATTTTCATCTCAGGGTTTGAAATGTGATGGAAAGAAACAAGCCTTCTATTTGGAGAAGGCTGATGAAAGACGTCTTTTTCTGAAACCAATTCACTCGAATTGTTGGAAAAATATGTAAAGAAAAGCGAAGCATTTAATTGTGAAAGAAATCCGTATGATGACGAAAATTTCCTCTATCAGCACGTCCAGCACCGAAAGCGCAACTTTTTGTTCCTTCGTCGTTTTGATCCGGAGACAACGTAATTTGTTTAGCCAATGATTGAAAGGAGACATAATCTTCATGATTTTCAATATGCATGCATTTTCATTAAATGAATCAGGTGTGTCATTTATGCTCACTGAGTCGATATGCTGAAGTCGTTGTGAATTATGTTCGGGTTCATATTCCAGGATTCGAAATTCCACTGTCAAATATGCCTTTGAAAGCTATGAATTGTCTGTATACAGTATTTCCGCATCTGAATACTCTAGTTCTATTTTTGTGATACTCATGTTAGTCATGTACAGTACAGTACTGTATATCAAAGTCATGGTTTCGATCATCGAAGCAGCCCAATTTTCTCAGCGCCGGAAAATGAGTCGACGAAGACTCACATTCTGGATTTCCCAATACAGTACATAAAATCGCAGATTTTATTTCCATAAGAATGAAATGCAAGAAATTATCCACGCAGTGCCGTAAAATATGTAATCGTCGTATGAACGGTACTTCTGTTACTGTGGAAACGCCATATTCTGTATATACACGCAATAATATAATTAAAATGTTTGGCCTCTTGTTTGAGAAAATCAAAAATACTGTAAGAATAAAGTGAATGGATATGTAAGTTGATTCTCCATTGAGAGATGCTTCTGATATTACTGCATTTTAACGTCAGTTTCCCCTCTGAGATTGAAGTGTACGTATTGCATGTTTCAACAGCAAGCAGCATTTGGTTATGTATCTGCTACGAGAGAATTTCGAGCTACGGACGTTCTGTAAACCGTAGACTGAGTAAATTACAAAAAACGACCCAGTAATTTGAAACTAATCTATAAACAAAGCGTGAACTAACGCGCAAGTACTGAACACAAGTAAACAACAACAAATATATAAGGGTAACCGAGCATCATGGCATCATGTAACTGCTGTACTGTATACTACATAACCATAACTCTCACCTGGCCTGCAGAAAAGTAAGATTGTTATGTAAATTCTCTTTTGTCTAGTAGATGTCACCAAAGGTGGGTCAACGGAAATCAGGAAGAACCCAGTGCCGAATATTGTTCTTTGAAACTGAAGAAGTAAGAATTTGATTGGTCTCGAAGAACTTCGCTAAGCTAACTGGACAGGAGTTAAAATTAATGATCCGCAATTGAAGAAGGCTTCCGTGTGCGGTGACAGATGTCGGCTTTAATTGCCAATCTAGACTTCGTAGTTGAAAATAATTCTAAGCACGAAGATCTTGAATTCTCCGAAGAACTTTTCCTTGACGGTCCCGCCAGAAACTGCTGGAAGTCGCCTCAGATCTAACGGAGATTTTAGAAAACACTTTTGATTAATCAAACGAACTTTCGACGGAAGTAAATGCTAGCAACACGAAAGCTTCAACATTCGTCCATCAGTAACATGCTTTGAAAAAGAGGCTACAAATACTCCGAAGTGTCTAATTCCGTTCGTGTAAATGTAATTTTGCCTTATGACGCTCTTCACGTCAGCCTTTCTTTTTTTCCACTTCCAACGTTGATGAAAATAATTAGAGGAGTACTTTCACAAATGCTTTTTATTGACCTCACCCCCGGTTCGCCGTGCTCTTAAAACCATTCACAGAAAAAGATCAAAAGATACAACGAGGCTGCAAATAACCATTAATCGCGACGCAAACCCATAACTTCCTCTTTGATCCCTTGTTTTGTGATGACATTAATCACAATGGCGTCTCCCGTAGTAATCTCACGCTCAGCCGCAGAGATGAATGTATCTTTGATGATCCCAACGGCAGTTTCAATAGACAATGTCGTGGGCGTAACCTTCTCCATATTTTTCAAGCCGATCTGAAGATACAAACAGTTCAAGTGGTCAATCAATCTTCGATCTCCGCAAATCCATGCGGTAATACCTTCAACACTAAAATACTCTCAGCATTTTGCGATATTTCTGCTCCGAACTGATGTTATTATTTTTTGGCTAACGATCCATTCACAAAAGTATACGTTCAAAACGCATCCGCCATGAAGCTGATACAAAATAAACAGCGCCCGAGATCCACAAATAAGCGAGAAAACAAAAATACTGTACGTACCATTTAATTGCTTCACACTATAAAATATCTGATCAACTCATAGAACGCCTTCCCGAAGACATATCTAATAATTCCAAGTGATCTGATGAAAAAATTTAGAAGTACAACTAAAAAAAAAACATGTCACGACCCGTGACATGTTTCCCCTCCAACTTATAAACTTTTGTCCCATTTTCCCTTCAAGGTACAGGGGAATCACAATGAATAATTCATCGCTAGGTGAATTCAAAATTTTTTTAATCATCGCGAGTTTTTTTCCTGCTCATCAATTACATATTCCCCATTATTAAACGATTCCTGGCATAATTTTCTGACGTTATAGACGTGTAAAAATTGTTTTTCAGGTTCAGGGGATGAACAATATCAAGTAAACATAATCGTCCCCAAATGTAGTTTTCAGCTTTACCTTTTTAATACCGTACTTTGTATATTCAAGTGTCATCATTCATCTCTCAATTTAGGTCGAAGGAAGAACCAATCACAAACCTGATTATCCAGTAAAGGCTGAAGAAGTGCGGAAGAAGCTCCACCAGCCACATATTCATTCTTAGTCATGTGGCCGACCGGATCGTAAGAGAAAAGAACACCTTTCCCATTTTCATCCAGTCCGGCCAAAACATTCGTCACGTAATACGGGAAAAATCGCCTGTGGTAAAGCATAGTTGACAACAGTCGTGCGGCGGCTGTCGACGAAATCGACTTGTGATGCTCCTGATCATAAACCTACACGAGAACGCATTCTTTCATACCTTGCTTTCACATTTCCTCTCATCCCACAATAAAGACCGATTCCCCAATGAGAGCAACATTTTTTTTTAAACGGGAGAAGTGATCACAAATGAACTTTCTATCTTACACCGGAACATTATTGCAGTTGCGTCAGCGTTTTTGGTCTGCTTCAGATCTCGGGGGAGTACTCATGCAAAGTCGTACAGGGACTGGCGGGTAATTTTTTGATTAATACGACAGTTTCAGTTCCAGTAGTATTCATCATTTCCTGCTTCATACAAATGTCACTCAGATTCAGACCCCGATCAATCATTGCACCGATTTTCACGAATAACCAGGAAAGTACGGTGGTTAGAACCCGGCATAACCATAATATAAAATATTGACTGCTACCGACATCACCTCACAAGAACATTGTTTCGTGCTGGAGAAAGTGAGAAAATTAATGAAATGTTTCACAAATCAGACGAAGAAATTCTGATTGCCCAGGCTATAAGAAGACGTCTTCGTCAAGTTACTGTACTTGAATAATCCCTAATTACCGCATCCAATTTCGATTCGAGGCAAAAAAGGCATTAATAACCTGATATAATATGAATTTCGAATAATCATAGAGATCTGGAAGTTCATTGCCCCATATAATATATTTATCAAAGGAAACTGCGGAGACATTAAAATGCAGAATGCAGGATACAGTATTGCAGCATGCTCTTCTTTCTTCTTAATAGATTCAAAATTGGGGATACTACATCAGAAGTGCGGATAATTGAAACCCAAACAATCGGAGTTCTGTATCTTCGCAGAGCGACATTTTTGACACCCAATACTATAAAAGAACCAGCACTAGAAAAAAAAAATATCAGACAGACCTTGAGACGCGTCTGGATAGTTCTAGTGAAGGTCAACACGTCACACCAGCAGCCTCCAGTACCGAGCACAGTTTTATCAGTTAACCGGAAAAGCTTTGGCTGATCACGAGTCAGGATGCTGTATCCAGACACCAAGCGCGTGTCCGATCCAATGATGGCGAAATCGTCACCAGCAAGGGCCACAATACTCCTGAGAGAAAATACAATTAAATCAACAACATCGCACCAATCTGAACGATTTTGCGCGAGGCAGCGTTTCCTCACCCGCCATTGTTTGCATACGGACTGAATCTAGCTTGCCGCGTGCCGAGGTGATCCACAAGGTTGTTTTCAAACTGAAGCGCCATTATCGAAGCGAATCGCACCAAAAATTTATTCACGAAATCTGCAGACTGAAAAAAAGCTGAACCGTTCAAGAACCAATTCGCAAAAAGAAGTCACTGGACTGTTTAAATCGTACAACAGCAGGATTTCTCGGGAAGTGAAACCCACTCCTGCTATGCATAAAATAAAGACACGTGGACAGTTTTTGCTTTTATTTCCATCGACTCACCGTCAACTACTCAGCTGCGAAGTCGCATCATCCACGCGTTCAAGTAAGTGAATCTTTTCCCACCTTCCAGCACAAAGAGGAAAAACAAAACAAAAAACGAACTACGCATCCAAACCAGAATAAGAACTAGCTTTACGCTGAATGGCAATAATTCTTTCCGCGGTCCATTCTCGCTAAACCAAACATGGTTGCCCTGGGACAGCACAATTCATGAACAGGCCCTCGTCAAACAAGGATGAAATTTGGGAAACATCCGTTGAATAAAAGAAGACCCTCTAATGCTCATCAGAAGGAAAATCTCAAAAATTACAGCCACTACAACATGAGTCCACAGCCAGAACACTTCTGATTTACCAGTGCAGAACACGAGAGAACCCACCTTGAGCCACTTCAGGGAGGTATAGTTCATACGGAGTGGACCAGAAAGTTCGAGCCACCAAAAGTCGACTTCAAGTTCACTCGATTCATTTACCTCTATGATAACGTCTCAGTTTTACAGCTGTGCCTGCATTGCTATTGACAAGTACGAAAAAAACCATTGTTCGTCCCATTCCTCCGTACGATACAGCAACTATATTCGTTTTAGAAGCCTGTGCCCTATTTTAAATTTACGTTCAACATTGGAAGAAGTGGCCAGCATAGCTCCTGTCCTACAACGACACTGCCTTCTCCACAACTAGTTCCAGCATTAAATTAATCGCCTCAATCTTTCCTTCTCAATTCTCCGTCGATTTTTTGAAATGGAGATTACGAGCGTGTATTGGTTTCAAGAAAATACCGATTCAGAAAATTCTTTTCGGGCAGGCTGATTCCAGCGGCCACAGAAATACACTATGATCCTTGGATTTAGACTTCGACGGAAATTCAGTAGAAGGAACTTGACGTTGACATTTTCCTTTCGAGTTGGTAGTTTCAACCATCGATGAGATATCACGTTAAAAAAGGAAAGAAAAAACTGGTCTACTCTTTTCTGGCCCAAGGCAACACTGTCAGTAAGCTGAGAAACATTTCACAATAAGACACCCTGCACAGCAGCAAGAAGCACCGCCAAACACCTCTCACTCATACGCCACACCAAAAACACCACACAATTACTCAAAATACACACCGAGCGCCAACTCAGTTCAGAAATTTCAATGTTTTATAGCTCCAATAGAACCGTAATTGTTTCATTATGCTGAATATATCGGGGGTTTTCCTCATCTTGCGGAAAGACGCGGGTCAACAAAAGTTTGGACTTCGTGAACAACGCGTCGTCATACCACGATTACAAATGTAATTTATGCTTACGCAGATGTTAAGCACCAACGACTATAAAATTCGCTGAATATCCGCAACTCAAGTTCCCCTCACAAGTAGCTGTACACACGAGCATACAAGAGCTGACGTACACATGATGTCACTAGGAAAGTCAGCACAATCTAAAGCTGACAGGACTGAGTTTAGACTTTGACATCATTCTCAGCGACTCAGGTAACGAACATATTGACATGAAACTCAGCTTTTAGATCAGCATTCGGATTTATGCGGGGTTACATACAACATGAACAATTTTGGTGAACCTGTACAGGTCGTTATAGTCCTTCACGAATTGAAACGCTCCAGTGTGGCGAATTAAAAAATAAGAGGAAAATACGCTACGATCACATGGCTGAACCAAGGAGACTTCTTGAGTGTGCCGAGCTCGACGACGGGATCTCGTGGTAGGAAAACTGGGAAAATTGTTCCAATGCTTCCGCGATGGATGACATGGAACGTTCGGGCGGGGTCAGTTCTACCGCCTGACCAGTAAACTCAGAATCGAAATACCTGTCAAAGAAAGGAGTGGATCATCAACATTTATTCAGAAGAACTGTGAACTCAAGACACATTGAAGAACCTCTTCAGATTAAAAAAAAAAAAAAAACTCAAAGGCCATATGACTCTTTCTGCCAGCTCTTTCAACAATATCTGAGGTTTCGATTCTAATGCGTATCGTACCTGGTGTCAGTATCCGACGTAACCTGCGGTTTGAAGGGCGGTGGAATTCTCTTCTGCAGCAACAAATCCCAGTCAATCGGCGCGAAGAACTTGTGCACCATGATCTCTTTGGCATCTTCCTGCCCACCGCCAAGTCTTCTGTTTGGATCCTTCACCAACAAGCCCAGCAACAGGTTCCTCGCATCAGGGGACAACCGAACAGGTACTCTGACGTCCTCGCTGACGATCTTTTCGAATAATATGTCGTGGTCAATGCTGTAAAATGGCAGCCGTCCCACCATCATTTCGTACGAAACCACACCAACACCCCACCAATCCACAGCTCGACCATAATCGTTGTCTTCAAGTACCTCCGGCGCTAGGTACTCAGGGGTTCCACAGAAGGTTCGAGTGGTGTGGCCAAACTCGATGTTTTCCTTACAGAGCCCAAAATCGGCGATTTTGATGTGACCGTCATTATCCAATAGAAGGTTTTCCAATTTGAGATCCCGATAAATGATTCCTTTCTCGTGCAAATAATGCAGTGCTAGGATAATCTCTGCAGAATAGAATCGCGTACGCTCTTCTGAAAAAAATCTATCTCGGGAAAGATGGAAAAACAGCTCGCCGCCGTTGGCGTATTCCATCACAAAGCACAACCGATCATTGGTTTGGAAGCAATATTTCAGGGCCGTCAAGAAGGGATGCTTTGACCGTTGAAGAACGCTTTTCTCTGTCAGTGTGTGAGCCACTTCGTCTTTCTGAACGATTACTTCCTTCTTCAGAACTTTAATGGCGTAGAGATGATCGGTAGCCTTGTCTCGGCATAAAATGACCTTTCCGAAAGTACCTTTCCCCAATACTTTCAGGAACTCGAAATTCTCAAGAGTAACTTTGAACCGGCCGGAATTGGACGTCGGTTTGGCAGTGACACAGAATTTGGACATGAATTCGTCACTCATAGATTCGTCATCAATTTCAGCAGCATCTGCATTGTGTGAAGAGAAGTCACAATCCGTTATGTCCCCTTCGGATGCATCACCCATCTCCAGTTTCCCCTTAACACCTTCGATCGAACGGATCCAGCTGGAAGTCGAAAAAAATGAATGAATAACACATGCAGATGGCAACTAATTTTGAATAGAAACATCAAACAACACTTACGCATCTCTTTCTTCGTTTGTTTCAACGCTGAAAGTTCGCTCAACAACAGCTTGCCAGTGAAGTCCTCGAATGAAAAATGTATGAGGTCGAGGACGTTCAGACCGCATTAGCTGACAACCTTTCACCGTGAAATCATTCAGAGGTCCTTGATCTTTCCAAGTCTCCAATTTGTCTTTAAATCCCAACAGGGATCCGTCGTCCAGCAGGAAAAAATAACGACGTCGCCAGTTTTTTATGTGCTCTCCACGTTTGAATAGCCATCCCTCCTTCACAACTATAGCTGAAGGATTTCTCAGCGACATCGCAGACCGATAAGAGGAAACCACGACACTGTCAATGCAAATGCGCCAGAATTATGAAATTACACGCTTTTCAACTTCACGCATTTGCAGGAGTCATGAAACACGCGGATTTCCACAAAACGTTCTGGAGTGTGTCCGAAACAGGGCTCTAGTGAGTGCATCAGAGCGGTGAGCAACCCATGGATCCCAAGCGCACCGCCATGACTATTGACACTCGCGACATCTACAAACTTTCCTCTGAATGATTGTCCATTTGAGGAATATGACATACTTCACAGTACAGTACTGTACCTGTGTACATAAAGCCTTTCCAACTGGTGGTACGCGTACCACCGTAGTGATACGTGGTACGCGAGTGCTTGCCAGGTGGTACGCCCACGAAGTATATTATTATGCTCATGGGACAGAAGAATTTTCTAGAGTCCTTATGGCTATTTTACACAGGGAAGAGAAAAGCAATAAAACTGTTACTTTTGTTTTGACAGGAAGATAAGACTGATTGATTAGGCAATCAAACCCTTGCCTCCAAGATCAGCATCCTGTCAATTCATTTAAAAAGCAATTTTAGAGCTACAATTTTTTCAATTGAAATGTCTAATACTGCTGCTTTCTTTTCCCCAGCAGCATAAATGATGCTTCCCATGGATTGCTGATTTTTCCCCCTCAAAGATTGACATGAAGATGAGGTTTGGCTGTTCAGTTGTGCATCGCCTATTCCTATTGGACGTATCCCCTAACAAACCTCAATACAATAAAAAAAATTATATATATAACTCGCATAGCGAACTGTGTCCTACCTATCGAACGTCTGGGCTGAAGTTGTAATTTTTCGAAAAAATCTAAATTTCAATCTTGCTTCTGAAGCAAAAATTGTCAAAACTAAAAAGGTTGCACGATGTTCTTGATGTAGGAAGGCTCAATACGTTATTAAGGTTAATCATATTGGAAAATTCTGCCTGAAGATGAAAAAAAACTCCAATTCGAAAACGTGATTTCCATTGTCAGAGGAATAAAAGCGGCGTTTGCCACCAGTTTCCTGCTGGTCTCACCATCGTTAGCCAAAAAGATGGACGATGCTTTGGTATAGATTAAAAAAAAGAAAAGACTTTGGGTGATGATAATACTGTACTTGCGAGCCACGACTTTTTTGTTGTCATCTCCATCGAAATGTCGCGTGCTGATGGCAATGGGTCGACAGCATCATCGGCATGGCTCGGGAACCGTCGACAGCCAGTCCGACAACCAACAGTATAAGCACAATCATCACCAAGTCAACAACTTGAAAAAATCAAACTTTTCGTAGCTGGGTTCTACTATCTGGTTCCGTTCCCGACTTCCGCGGAGTCTCGTAGAGTTGCGTGGAGTATGCTGGGAATCGATGTTCTCTCAGCAGAACTCGGCGGTTCGGTTGTCTGGGTTCGAGGCGCAGCAAATTCTGTGAATACATTTCCAGGGGTTTCTTGGGTTGTGCTTACGATTCGTTGGTGCTGTGACCAAATAATACTAGTGACCGGCGTCCAAGTGGACATCAGAGTTTTGTGCTGCACTCAGAAAAGACCTCAAAAAGACGTTTCTGCCCTCGCAAAATTTGGGGGAAGTGAAGGCCTGGCAATTGAATCCGCGTTTTAATTTTAAGGATTTTTTCTTTTGTGTAGTTTCTATGATTTCAGTTGTTGAAAATTCTTGCTTGAGATAACGCTCATTTTGAAGATAGAGTAAAGTAAATGTTGTATTTTACTTTTGTAGCTTTTCTTGAAAGGTTATTTTGCGTTTGAAAAAAAAAGAAAAAAACCAACCGAGATGAAACCGGGCACAAATATACCCCATTACGAAGAAATGGTCTTGTACCTAATGTATCAATCATAATGTATATCAGTTGTGAACTTCAGAAAATAAATCCTGATTTTTTTCGGATTGGGTCGAACCAAATACATTTTATTCTGTAAAAATGTTCCTCCTCTCGACTGATCAGGATTACATTTTTATTGTAGAAGACTTCCTTATTAGGGGCAGGTGAGCCATCGCAATGAGATTAAGAGAAGTGACAGTCGGAAAAATTATTTGCAGACTTATGCACAATAATAAAAGCGTAAGATTAGGTTTTTGTTTTCTGTGCGAAGTGGGAATTTTTTTGGTGATAAATTCCAGGAAATCCTGCTTTTTTAAAGACTAAGAGGATAGATGATTTAGTTGAGCTGAATATTTTAGTATATTAACGCGGATTATATTTTGCTGACATTGACGGATGAATGTATTATCTGCATTGAACTCTCTGAAAAATAAAACTGTCACGATCTCGTTTCCCTTTCAGAAAAAAAACCAGTCGTCAAATTATGCAATTTTCAAAAAATATCCTTTTCGTTGTAATGTTTTTCACAACTGGCTGTCGGTGCATCCAGCCGAAGATGAACTTTGAATTTGATTTCAACTTAAACAGCGCAACGAATTTACGCCATTTCTGGAGAAGCACTGGGTTTACGTACGATATTTCAAAAGAGGAAAAAAATGAGGGTTGATTTTTCTGAAAACTTGAACCTTCTTCCATCAACAGGACGAAAAATCCTCAAAAAGCCGCTGAATTTTATTCTCACCCCGATGTCTTGAAAAATTTGGCAATCATATCTGCTGTGCCTCACCGGGGCATTCGTCAAGTACGGATCCACTGGCTGATGAATTTAATCTCCGTCAAGTGAGCTCTGAAGATCCTTTCAGTATTTTCCAAACGACATCTCAGCAAGCTTGCAGAAAAACAAAAAATCATTTTTCAACCTTGTCGCAAAAATTATTCGGCGTTCGATTCCCTCCTTCTATAGACTCGAATAAGCGACATCTGTTAGACAAGAACTAATCTGATTCATCGTCGTATTTTCCTGCGATCCATGGTGGGGTTGGCGTTTTGCATACGAACTCGATTGGGTGGAAAGGTATGGGTGTTAAATGAATCTACGCACTTTGGTTTGTATCGGATTCCACTTGGGTCATTGGTTTAAATTTAATGCAGTATATGTTAACTGTGCATAGAAGGTTTGCTTAGGTGGCCAAAAATTAGTCCGAAATCCTCTGAGTACAGATGCCACAATCACTGCTGTTGATACTTCTGGGCACTTTAATTCTTATGACGCCGAAGGAATCTTGCGTCGACGATTATCGAAGAAGAGGCCTTTATTCAGTTAACGTCCAATGTCGAGCAAATATTAAATGAATAATGTCCAAAATACGGGAACTGGAGATTCTAAACCTGCATTATTTTTTGAAGGATGGCATCGCAAGGCGAGCAACGATCACCATCATACAATTTTACGGCATTGGATAATTTCCTGCATTTCATTCGTGACTTGGACATTAAACCTGGTTTTGAAATCATGGGAAATCCAGGAAACTTAT